GAAAACTCAGGAAATGTTTCCCAGAGTAAATGTTCCCTGAACTGGGCTGTGAAGAATAAGCAAGAAGAAGGAAGGCAAAAAGGATAAGAAAGCCTAGGTACAAGAACAGGCATTCAAAGGCATAAAGGTCTTAGAAGCCCTTCCAGGAACTGCACTGTTTGGTATGCAAACTCTTTCATGGAAGATAATATTTCCCAACTCATATGATGCTGACATAACCTTGTTACCAAAATAAAAAAGAACTTACAGGAAAGAGAATATTACAGGCTAATCTTAAATGTTAAATCAAGTGTAAAATCCTAAGCCACATCTCAACAAATTAACCTCAATAGTACATAAAAAGATAATATCATGAAAAAGTGGGGTTTATTCCTGAAATACAACATTGGTTAACATTTGGATGAAAATTAAAACAGTAATCCATCATACTATCAGAAGAAAAGAGAAGTATCATCTGTTATCTCAACAGATGCTCCTCCCAAAAAAGTATATATAAAATGTGTTTGATAAAGTTGAAAACTACTAGATTTCCACTTTCTGCCATAGTGGAGTAACTGGAACCAAATGTGTCCTTACACCATAAGAACTAGAACACTAGAATATATGAAACAACTACTTTCAAGCCTTGAAAGACAAATGGTTGGCGCAGAACTATAACCCGTAAAATTCATTCAAAACATAATAAAGTTGGAGTTCTCACACATCCTGATTTGAAAACTTACCACAAATCTACAGTAATCAAAAACAGTGTAGTACTGGTATACAGACAGACATATGGACCAAAGGAATACAATAGAGTCTCTCAAATACAAGGTCAATGGTTTTTGACAAGAGTGCCAAGACTATTCAATGGAAAAATAGTCTTTTCAACAAATGGAGTTGGGAAAACTGGATATCCACATGCAAAAGAACAAGCTGGACTCTTATTTTACAGTATATTCAAAAATTAACTCAAAATGGATCGAAGAACTAAATATAAGAGCTTACACTGGAAAACACTTAGAAGAAAACATAGGGGAAGCACTTAATGACATTGGATTTGGCAGTGATTTCTTGGATGACACCAAAAGCACAGGCAATAGAAGAAATAGTAAATCGGACGTTATAAAAATTAAACTTTTTTGTACATCAATGGACATGATCAACAGAGTGAAAAACAACTCACACACAATAGGAGAAAATCTTTGTGAATCATGAAACTAATACTGAATTCACATTCAGAATATATAAAAGAACTTCTACAATTCAAAACACCAAAAAAATTCCATTTTTAAAAATGATCTTTGATAAAGTCAACAAAAATAAACACTGGGCAAAGTATACCCTATTCAATGGTGGTACAGGAAAAACTGACTAGGCATATGCAGAAGAATGAAATTGGGCCTCTAATTCTCACTATATACAAAAATTACCTCAAGATGCGCCAAAGACTTAAATTTATGTAAGACCTCAAATTATAAAAATTCTAGAAGAAAATCTAGGGAAAACTCTTCTGGACATTGGCCTAGGTGAAGAACTTATGACTCAGATCTCAAAGGCAAATGCAACAAAAACAAAAAATAGACAAATGAGACTTAATCGAACTAAAGCGTCTGCACAGCAAAAGAAACAATCAACAGAATAAGCAGACAACCTGCAGACTGGGAGAAATTATTTGCAAATTATGCATCCAACAAAGGACTAATATCCAGAATCTATAAGGATCTTAAATAAATGAACAAGAATAAAGCAAGTAACATTAAAAGTGGGCAAAGGACATGACCAGATGCCTCTTTTTTAAATTTTAGATACAGAAGGTACACACGGGGGTTTGATACATGGATGTATTGTGTGATGCTGAGGTTTGGACTTCTAACAATGCTGTTGCCAAAGCAGTGAACATAGTACTTGATAAGTTTTTCAACCCTTGCCCCCATCCCTCCCCACTTAAGTGTATATTGTTCCCATCTTTGTGTCTATGTATACTCAATGTATAGCTCCCACTTATAAGTCAGAACATGTGGTATTTCGTTTTCCATTTCTGTGTTAATTTGCTTAGGATGATGGCCTCCAGCTGCTTTCATGTTGCTGCAAAGGACATGATTTATTTTTATGGCTGCATAGCATTCCAAAAGTGTATATGTACATTTTTAAAACCCAATCCACTGCTGATGGGCACCTTGCCTGATTCCACGTCTTTGCTGTTGTTAATAGTGCTGCAATAAACATACAAGTGCAGGTGTCTTTTTGGTAGAATGATCTACTTTCCTTTGGTAGGATACCCAGTCATGGGATTGCTGGGTCGAAAGGGACTTCTATTTTTAGATCTTTGCAAAATCTCCAAACTGCTTTCCACAGGTGCAGAAATAATTTACATTCCCACCAACAGTGTGTAAGTGTTCCCTTTTCTCCACATCTTTGCCAACATCTGTTTTTTGACTTTTTAATAATAGCCATTCTGACATGAGATGGTATCTCGTCGTGGTTTTAATTTGCATTTATCTGATGACTAGTAATATTAAGCATTTTTTGTTGTTGTTGTTTTGGCTGCTTGTACATCTTTTTGGAAGTGTCTGTTCAGAAAGTCCTAGCCACAGCAATCAGGCAAGACAAAGAATTAAAAGGCATACATATAGGGAAAAAAGGAAGTCAAAATATCTCTCTTCAGTGACAATATGATTCTATACCTAGAAAACTCTAAGGATTCTGCCAAAGACTCCTAGACATAACAAATAATTTAAGCAAAGTCTCAGGATACAAAATCAGCATACAAAAATCTGTAGGATTTCTACGTACCAATAATGTTCAAGCTGCAAACCAAACCAAGAATGCAATTCCATTTATAATAGACACAAAATACCTAAGAATACACCCAACCAAGGAGGTGAAAGTTCTCTATAAGGAGAACCACAAAACATTGCTGAAAGAAATCACAGATGACACAAATAAATGGAAATGCATTCCACACTCATGGATTGGCCAAGGCAATCCTAAACAAAAAGAATAAAGTCAGTGGCATCACATTATCCAAACTCAAACTACATTACAAGGCTACAGTAACCAAAACAGCATGGTACTCATACAAAAACAGACACATAGACCAATGGAACAGAATAGAGGCCCCTGAAATAAAGCCACACATCCACAATCGATATTTGACAAAGTCAACAAAAATAAACAATAATAAAAAATACACACACACATCCAGTCTAAAAAAATTAAATTTAAAAAAATGTTCAGAGCACTTGAATAGATCATGTTTCAAAAGGAGCTAAACAAATAGCCAAAAAGCACGTGAAAATCTTAATATCACTAGTCATTAGGGATTGCAAATCAAAACCAGTGTGATCCCAGCTTGCACCTATTAGTATAGCTATTAACGGAAAATCACAAGAATTGGTGAGGATGTGGAGAAACTGGAGACCTCAGGGATTGCTGCTTGAAATGTAAAATGGTACAGCTGCCATTGTAAACAGCATGGTAGTCCCTCAAAAAGTTAAAAATAGAATTACCACTTCTGAATACATACACAAAAGAATTGGAAGCAGGGACTCAAATAGATATTTATACATCAGTGTTCATAGAAGCATTATTCGCAATAGCCAAAAGGTGGAAACAACTCAAATGTTCACGGAAAGATGAATAAACAAAACAAGATGTGTGTCCACACACACAGATACTGAAATATTACTCAGCCTTAAAAAGGAAATTCTGACACATGCTGCAACACAGAAGAACCCTCAAGACATCATGCTAAGTCAAAGGACAGATACTGTATGATTTTATATGAGGTACCTAGTCAATGTCAGAAAGTAGAATGGTGGTTGCCAGGAGATGGAAGAAAAAGGGAAAGTGGAGTTACTGTTTAATGGGTACAGAGTTTCCATTTGGGATAACAAAGTTCTGGAGATGAATAATGGTGAAGTGAAAGTACAACATGAATGTACTTCACGTTGATGAACCAACAGAAAAAAATGTGCAGAAGACCTGAAAACACAAAAATGAGTATCCAAGTAGCCAAATCATATGAAAAAATGTTCATCACCAATTACCAGGAAATGTAAATTGCAGCCCAAAAAAGATACCACTGAACACATGACTAAATTTTTCCTTGACAATATCAAGGGTCAACAAAGGAGTGGTACAACTGGAGCCTTACACCCTGCTGGCTGGAGTATAAACTGGTATAACCACTTCGGTAAGTATTTTCACGTCATCAACTAAAACTGAATAAAGGCAGCTTCGTGAGCTAGCAATTTGAATAAAATAGTAAAATGAGCCTATGTACACTGCATTAGTTCCCTAGAACTGCCCTAACAAAGTACAACAATCTGGGGGACTTACACAACAAATTTATTGTCTCAAAATTCTAGAAGCTGAAAATCCAAAATCAAAGTGTCAGTAGGACTATGGGCTATGCTTTCTCTGAGACCTGTAGGGGAATCCTTCTTTGCCTCTTAGCTTCTGGTGACTGGCCGGAAATCTTTGGCATTCCTTGGCTTGTAGATGCATCATTCTGATCCTCCATCTGCACATGGCATTCTCCCTTTGTCTCTTCACACAGCTTTCCTTTTATAAAGACACCAGTCATATCAGATAAGAGGCCCACCCGACTCCAGTATGGCCTCATTTTAACCCATAACATCTGCAATGACCCTGTTTTCAAATGAGGTCACATTCTAAGGTACCAGGGGTTAAGATTTCTGTACACCTTGTTTGAAGAACAGGACACAATTCAGCCCATAACATATACCAAAAAGCAATATAATATTCATACAATTGGAATATTCCTGAAATTTCATAAGTTCATAAAAATAGAATATTCATAAAAGCAGTTTTAATCGCCAAAAATTATGAACAATACAAATGTCTATCACCATTAGAATGAAATCTAAAGTTGTAATATATTCATGCAATATAATACTACACAGAAATTAAAATAACTACAAATGAAACAACTCTAATGAACTTCATAGACATAAAAGAAGCCATACATGAAATGCACACACTGACCAATTATATTAAATTTTTAAAATAGGCAATCTAAACATTTATTTAGGGATTCATGGTTACACAGTAAAACTGTGAAGACAAGTGATTACCATAAAACTGAAGATGAAGGTGATTAAGCGTTAAAATCAGGAGGGGACATAAAGGTGCTTCTGGGGTACTAGCAAAGTTCAATTTCTTAAACCACATAAGTTACATGATTACAGTGAGTTTTACTCCATTACTGACCCTGTCAGTTAAAAAGGCCTAGAAGCAATGACACCCCAGTAGCAATGAACATACCCAGCACACAGATTTTGATTTCCAAATGCGATTCTCCACTAAAAGAAACAGAAGTGCCTGGCTCCAGAGTTGAAATGAGCCTGGCATATCTTACTGTGCTAAAGAGCAAAGAAATCACTCAATGGATGATGAAGTCATACCAAAAGGACACAGGATCAGCTTGAAGTAGCTCCCACTGTTCCAATTTAAGACAAATTGGGCATCAATATGAATGATAGTAAGGAAATACACGCATTGAAGTAAATAAGAACCCAGGAGTCCACAATGATATTTTTAAAAAGGGGGGAGAAATGAAAGCTGTTTATAGCAGAAAGCTAACCAATAAAACATAGAACAATGAAATCAGAAAATCACCATTTGGCAAACATCAGAGTAATAAATAATTCAGGCAAGACTTACTGATGGAGGCTAGCCAGTGGGTAAAAGTTTAAGAAATAACAGGACACTCAGAGCTTCAAAATATTCCAGGATACCTATAACTTACAAAAGGAAAAATAACTTTACAGTGGAGTAACCTTATAGACACTACCTTAACCAAGTGATGAATGCTAACATCACCAGAAATGGAGCAAATTGACAGCATGTACCTCCATAAGCATCTTTTCTATGGCATTCCTCACAAAAATGCATGAGGTGAATTTCATCATGAGGATATATCAAACAGACCCAAATTGAGAGACATTCCACAAAATGAATGGCTTCAACTCTTCAAATATCAAGGTTATGAAAAACGAGCAAGATTAAAGAACTATTCCAGGTTACAGGAGACTGAAAAGACAGGACAACTAAATGTAGCCCACAACTCGGGATTTTCTTCTGTTGTAAATGACATTATTGGCACCACTGGTGAAACATAAATACGATCGAAAGGGAGAAAGAGAGAAACAGCAAGTAACAGGAAAGCAAGAGTTAGAGACAGAAGAGAGAGAGAAAGAAAATAAAGACTAAAATACAGAAAAATGGTAACAGATGGAGAACTAGGGTAAAAGGTATATATAGGAATTCTTTGTACTATTCTTACAACTTTTATTTGCCTGAAATTATGTCAAAATAAGAAGTTGAAAGACAAAAATCTCACACAATACATAAAATTAGACATTTCACAAAAGCAGAAAACAAAGATAACAAATTCTTCAACCACTTTAAATACTAAAATACCACTTTTGCTACTTAATTAACACTAAAAACATAAATGACAAAATTTAGTGGTAGCAATTCCGGAAAACCTGATACATACTTTCCAACTTCGCTGTTTGAGTGATCACTAGTCCAACCTTTTGAGGAACAACTTAGCAATACGGACAAAGAGCAATAAAAATGCAGACTCTAGTGATTCCACTTCTGGAACTCTATCCTAAGGAAATAAATACCAAATATTGAAAAGGCATTATACAAAGATATAATCACAGCAGTCTTATTTAAAATAATGTAAATTGAGAAAAAAATCCCAAATATAACACAGAAAGAAAACTGAGATACAATCATTTACAGAAATTCAGACACTAAAACAGTCTATAAAAACTATATAAACATGGGGGAAAGCTTACAACAGATATAATAAAGTAAAATTGCATGAAAGGAATGATTAAAGTAGTTTTAAAAGCATCTACATGCAGCAAGCACACTCAGTCCCCTTGCCATGAGATACCCTGTGCTGCCTAGGGACTTTGCAGACTTCCTACCAGCAAGAAGGCCCTCACCAGATGGAGCCACTCAATGCTGGACTTCTCAGCCTCCATAACTTAAAAAAAAATAAATTCCTTTTCTTTATTGAAAAAAAAAAAAAGTATCTACACGTAGAATAAGATGAAAACTCACAACGTTGTTACAGTATTTATAGGGTAATGGTATTGGTGAGGTTTTTCCTTCATCTTCCAAAATGTCAGCAACTGTTTATTTTAATACTAAGGATTATGTAACTTAACAAAAAAAATATGCTTAGTTACTACTTTAACATCCTTTGTGTCTTCAAAGTGCATCTGAAAAATATCACTCATTATGAAGAAAAAAGTCATGATGAAGCAATATATACAAACACCTTTATTTTGCTTTTAAACATATCTACCAGTAAATATGTGTGTAGGTTGCACAAGTCCAGGAGAGGAAAAGTTACAGAAGATATATAACAAATATTCACAAGAAATCATGATGGGAATAATATCTTTTCTTTTTTTTTTTTTTTTTTGAGACAAAGTGTTGCTCTGTTGCACAGGCTGGAGGGCAACGGTGTGATGATCAGCTCAGGGCGACTTCCGCCTCCTGGGTTCAAGCAGTTCTCCTGTTTCAGCCTCCCGAGTAGCTGGGACTACAGGCGCCCGTCACCATGCCCAGCTGATTTTTTTATTTTTAGTAGAGACAGGGTTTCACCATATTGGTCAGGCTGGTCTCGAACTTCTGACCTCAAGTGATCCACCCGTCTCAGCCTCCCAAAGTGTTGGGATTACAGGCGTCAGCCACCACGCCCGGCCTAATATCCTTTCAAAGAATAAGTGCATCCCATACAAATAAGGTGGTTACAATAAAGTACTTCAAAGCTCAAGAGCCACAGTACTGAGGTATGATAACTAGCATGAGGAGTCTTCCAGGCTTCTCTTTTGTCCGTACTCACTGAAGTCTCATCCGTTTTTCAGGGGGGCCTTTAGCACTCACTGTCTGTTGTACATTCTTTGTGGTCTCCTTCTCCTCAGATTTTACAGTTTCTGGTACAGGTTCTGCCTCTTTCTTTGTTTGATCCACTGATATCAAAAGTAGATTTTTTGGGGAGGGAGACACGGGTGGAGGGAATGAGATAAATTCAAACAATGGTTGGTATGAACGGTTCACATTTTCAAATTCATTTTTAACTGTTTATCTCAAGTTCTAGATCTAGCTGTTCCCATAGGCAGATGTATACAAGAACCCAGTTACAAACCTAACAACCCGATAACTCAAGGAAATTAATGATACTAGACAAAACTACATAGCATTTAAGTAAGACAGTATGTAAAAACAAGATATATAATTATTCTAACCCAGTACCATGATGGTTCAACACCTGTTTTCAGTAATGTAACAGAAAACAACATTATATAAAAATACAGATTTTAGAAGAAACCTCGAATCACGGTGGCTTCCTCATATCTCCTCAATACCTACTTTCTCCCTCCCAATTCATCTTTTCACTACCACAATGGCACCATCTGCTGACAGTTCAGCACATCTCAAAGATTAAGAGTAAAAAACTACAATGGGAGACTCTAACCCGTGGCCCACGGGCAGCATGCGGCCCAGGATGGCTTTGAATGTGGCCCAACACAAATCTGTAAACTTTCTTAAAACATTATGAGACTTTTTTTTTCTTTTTTCAGCTCATCAGCTATCATTAGTGTTATTTTATGTGTGAACCAAGACAATTCTTCTTCCAATGAGGCCCAGCCCCAGCTCTAGAAGGACAAAATGACCGCGGCTCATTTCACATGCTACAGTTATTGATTTACAAGCTGTTTGATCTTATTTCAAGCGTAATATTAGATGAACCATACCTGGAACAGGCTTTTCTCCAGGCTTTAGCTATAATTTTTTAGAAAAGAGGGAGGGGGAGGAAGAGGAAAAAGAAGAAAACAGGTCAAGTTGGCAAAGTTTCTTCTTCTTAATGTCATATTAATAAAATGAAAGCTTCATCCAAATTACATTTCAAATGACTTTGTGAAGAAAAGCTACTATTTATGTACTATAAAGTACATTTATCATTGTCTGTTTCTTATTCCCCATTCCAGAAAAGACACAAATCAAAAACTAGAACAAGATAGTCAACCAACCATAAAAATACTTGAACATTTAACAAGGACTTCCACCTCCACACCCAGGCTACAGTGCTTTATAAAAAGCAGTTCAGTAGAATCCAATGGGAAGAAATAATGAAGTCTTCCAATACTCCAGAGTCTTATTTCCTTAATGGGTATGAATTATGGGAAGGGAGAATGAAGTATGGATGAACCATGACTTTTAAAGTTGGCAGGCATGGGAAATTTGGAGGAAAAAGAGATTTCTGATGAGTCTATTATTAAAAACCAATCTATAGGAAAAAAAGATAAGGAAAAAAAGATTAGAAATAAGGTCAGGTCCTTCACTCCGTAGAGCAATTCTTTCACTTGATTAAGCTCTGTCATCTCCTTTGCCCCATTCCCCAAGTTAAATGCTCTACAACACTCTTGTCTTCTTCTACCCCTCATTCTCATCCGATGACACTGTCTCCCATGTTTAAAAACAACAACAAAACCAGGATGCCAACACCACCAACTTCCTTACCATCTACCTTTAAACTTATAACTTTATATACATATACACATATATATATATTTAAAACACCTTAGTACTTCCATATCATCTTAGAAGAAAAAAGCAGTCTCTTCATTTCTAATGCCTCCGTTTGCTGAATCTTTCTGGATTTACATGCCCTCCCTAGGCCTTCTTACATATTCCCACTCCTAACAACTGCAAAATTCTCTGATATTACACGTTCCAGGTTCATGCTGACAACTGCCAACTATCCTACTCCAACTGCAAGTCCTGGGAATCTTTACACTTAACAAGACCAAAACTGAGCTTCATATTATTATCCACTGTGCAATAAAAAGGTTACCACAGAAGGCCTGAGGCTGCTATACTTAGTCCTGCTTGCAAGGTTGGCCCTTGGCTAGTGTCTAGAAACTTGGATTTCTGGAGAGTTCCCACCATTCCCTGATAATAGTGGCTCGCTGTGCCTAGACTGTACAAACAATGCAGTTTAGGCTGAATATCTGCTTTCTTCAGAGGTTGTGGAATTTTGGTATGTGCTAGATAAGAGGGTACCTGCATGAAGAGCTCCCCCAACTCCAAAAACACACCTTGGGTACCAGGTCTCTAATGGATCTCCCTGGGAAGAAATATCACATATTCTGCATTTTCACTGTTGAGAGAACAGTGCACTCTGTGTAACCTCTTAAGGGAAGAAGAAAATATAAGGAAGCCTGCACATAGATTCTTCCAGACTCTGCTGTGTCCTTTTCCCTTATGATCTGGCTATACATCCTGACTGTATTATAGCAATGAATCTTAGCTGAGTACAACTACATGCTGAGTCCTTTGAATCCTGCTAGCAATCTCCAATTACAGGAGTTGTCATAAGAACCCCCAACAAAGCCACATATCACATTATCTTGTGAAAATATCAATACTTAAACATGTCTAAAGTAATTCTGAGGCAACAAATTGTTTTTCTTTAAAATAGGAGAGGAAACATAGGGAGGAACATTGAGGAAAGTAAAAAATTTGAAAGGGGGGATTTTTCTACTGTCAGCACTGAACCATTTAAACTATATTGGACACTGAACTATATGTGGACATTGGAATAATGTCGTTATTTACCCAACATAATACACTGTCTAATCTTTTCCAGTAAATCCTGCCAGACTAGTAGAACATGGTTTGAGATGGGGATATATAACAAGGGTGCTTCTTGGAGCAAATTTAATCAGGTGGCTTTGGTTTAGATAATCCTAGGTGAAGTAAATATCCTTCTAGCAGCTTCTAAAAACAGCAATAAAAAGACAGTCCTCATAAAAGGCTCCAAAGACCGAAACTCTCATCACATCAGTATTAGTGCAACTTCCAGCAGTAACGATATTAAAATATGGAAAAAAGAGCTTCAAAGAAGCAGAGAGGACTTCTCCAATATTCTCTTGAGCATCCCTTATAGAAGCAACATTCTTGGGTACCACAAGCCCAACTGCTCGATAAAACTGGTAAGTAGGAATAGCTGCTGTATCCTTATCTGGACTACAAACAGTTATGGAGGACCCAATGGGTAAAGAGGAGTTAATATGAGCTAAAAGAAGTTCTGGGAGACTTGAAGTAGATTATTTTCTTCTCTAGATCTGAGGCTGGAAAAATTTTTGGTAGGAAAAGCAAAAAGATTATTAATAGTTCTAGAGAAAGCCATCTTTCTCCTAGTTATGTTATACACAGCTGGATATACTCTATCTTTGGGAGTTGGTTTTTGGCTCTTGGATGGTAAAAGAAATGTGGGGTCCAGGAATATGATAATATAAGTATGAATGTGGCTAAACCTTTAAAAGAAAAAGGTAAAACACTCACTGAAATGATAAGAAATCTGCAGTCTGCTTAAAAATAATTGGGAGGAAGTAGGGAGAAAAGAGATAAAATAAGTTTGGCCATTTTGATAACTGCTGAGGCAGACTAAAGGGTATAGGGGGGTTTTATTTTTAATTACTCTCTCTGCTTTCATGTTTTTAAGATTACCATACTTTTCTATAAAGTAAAGAGTTTTTATTTTAAGAATCAAGAGAGTCTTTGAGCTTTCTACCATGTCTAGCCTAGCGCACCAGGACAGGACAGCAAACAAGAATCAAGACAGCGCCCCTAGCCAGGGGGAAAAAAAAGAAGTTGTCTTTCACTGAGTACCCCAGGACTCAAATACAATAGCAAACTACTGAATGTTCTGTAGGTCAGTTAATGAAAACCAAACCCCTAACAACTGTACTTCAACCAAAATCTGTTTTTTTTCCCCTGTATTCTGAATTTTAGCTGACAATACCTAGCCTAATTCTAGGCCTGAAACCCCAGAATCACCCTTTGTCCAATCTCTCCAAATCCAACCACCAAAATAAAGCAATCCTAACTCTGTAAATACCTCCTAAATCTGTATCCTCTCTATCCTATGGCCACAGAATTAATTCAAGCTTTCCACAATTTAAGTGCCCTGACTCCAAACTTCACATGTGATTTCCTAAGCATCCCCTACCCTCCTGTTATTAGTTACATTCCTAAAACACAAAACTGACTATATTACTCCCTTGCAACTACTTTTAAATATCCAGTGGGTCCTTACTACCATCAGCAATCATTCTCAGCTAGTCACTTGAAGATGAGGTAGAGGAGATTTCAGTGAGAATACACTCCTGGAGAGTATATACTTGAAAAAGACTGTACAAAATTTCCCCTGGTTTGGTCTGTCTTTGGTTATGATAGCTATTGTTTTAAAACTTAAAATAATTTTGAATGCATCTGGAGGCCTGTTATGTTTATGGGAGTGGTAATGAGTAATAAGTTTAAAATAGAGAAGAAACATAGGACTCCAGGATTAAATCCCAGCTTCTTTGCATTGCATATAAAATCCTTCTCAACTGACCTTAATCTATTTTTAAAGTCTCATCTTCCATTACTCTTCCCCTCCAAAAACACAGAGTAAGCCCTCAGAGGATTTTTCTGGTTTCTGAACATATGTTCACTAACTCATGTTTCCAGTTTTGCATGTTCTATTATCATTTTCTAGATGAGGACTGTTCAAAAGAAATGTGAGCCACAAATGCAAGATACACATGTAATTTTAAATTTTCTTGTCACATTTTTAAAAAGAAACATGTATTTTATTTAACCAAATATACCCAAAATATTATTTCAACACATAATCAATATTTTTAAACTACTATTTTACATGCATTCTTTTTCATACAAGTCTGAAATCCAGTATGTATATTGCACTTACATCACAACTCAATCTGGACTAGCTGTGTTTCAAATGCTCATAGTCACACATGCCTCATGGCTACTGTACTGGACAGCACATGTCTAGATGTCTTCCCCTGCCTACCTAGCATGCACTATGTACTCACCAAATAAATGGTCAACTACACCTAACTTTTTACATTCTGTAGAGGTCATTCATCACCCTACGCACAGCTATAATTTATTTATTTATTTATTTATTCAACAGACAATGTTCCATCTTCAAGTGCAGTTGATGAGATTCCTCTAAACTGGCTTTCCTGTCCTGAGTTCCATCTTGCGTCTTCTGCTCTCTTCACCACCACATCACAATTGCAATAGCCCCTATCTCTCACTACAGCACAGTCAGGGAAGAGGGAAGGGGAGGCCTGTTCTAAATTCATCTCATGTAAAAAATTTCATTTAGTTTAAAATTTCCCTTGAAAATCCCTTAAGGAGCTCCTAACAAAAAAGAGGTATATGATCTTGTATGTACACTGCAAAGGTCCAGAAGAATTGAGACTAGCCATGAGACCAGCATATTCATCGATTCCATTCCATATCTACTTCACTCCAAAAGCTCATTTACTAGAATGGCAGGTGGATTTGCTATTGCTGTTAGAAATCTCCCTGCCCCTCCAAATCACACAGTGGATTCATATAACTTAAAACCCCAATATAGCGTATCTCTATTAATCACTCCTGTCTCTTCTGTTTATTATGCCAAACACTCTACCTCACATGTTCTGTTCTTTTTGTTACACAAGTGTTAATCATTCTATCATTTAGATTGTTCAGACATCTACTACATCAGGCTGGAAGGTGGCACGTAGAGTAAAAAGAGCATGAGTTTCATATTCTAGTTTTGTTACCACGTGTGACACTTTCAGCAACCTTTTGAATGAGAATATGATCTATATGCAGTCCTCACAGTTTGTGAAGATTCAGTAAGAAACACAAACAGTGTTAATTCCATTCCATTTACCTATTTCTTCCATTAAGTCTTTAGAAACCTTTCCTTTGAAACAGAGATCATTTTTTAACTAATGAGGAAAATCATAATTTTAGGTCAAATCTGAAACGGTTCTCAATTAAAAATAAATATATATGCCATAAAGAAGTGTCAAATCAAGATTAACCACACATATTCTCATTACCTGCACAAATTTGGGTGGAAATTTTTGTCTGAGGTCTAAAAGTAAAGCATCCACACGTTGTCTCTGAAAAATAGAGCTTGGTTCTTCTTTCCTTTTGGCTTTAGGTCTGACTTTATCTATTAAATACAAAGTCCAAATCAAAACATTGCCTACTTAGTTTGGTGTCTCATATTTTACAAATCTTTATCCACTATGAATATACCCAAACCTCATTATTTTTAATAGCTGCTAGACCAAAGATAATTCCCAAAATAAGGTAAACACAGCATATATACAGAAGTGCTGTTAACTCTCCCTCTTAACTGAAGTCAAATTCTAACATTTAAGCTGATACATATGGCTTTTAAAGATACTTCAGTTTTGGTATATAAGCATGCACAACCATAAGAGTTTTAAAGCTAAAGTTTTTCAAAATTACCTAAATCAAAATCCAAATTATTTGGTTTGAAATTACCTTTGTGTATTTTAAGTGTATTAAATGGTATTTTCCCACAAAACCTACTAGGAACAAATGGAAATGCAGGTTTCACAAACTCAATCTACCATATTCAATTATTAAGACTGTAATTCACTGAAAAAAAAAAATAACAAAACAGAAAATCATGAAGACAAAAAAGAACAGAACCTGAAAGAGAAATTCTGAAGTTAATCACATATGGGATTTGCCCTTGGGAGGGAGGTGTATTGGGAAACCGTATCCAAGCGAAGGGTTCCAGATAAGTGTTACTCCGAACACTTGGTTATGGTAGGGGAAAAGAACCATTGGGCCAATTTTAGTCAACAAAGGCAAACTTTCCTTCATCAAATGTTCCTGCTTATACCTACTATTAAGAAGATACAGGTCTGAATTCTATACAAACACTATGTTTCCCTCAACAATTTATTCTGAGTTGCTATTTCTCAGACAAGGAAATGGAGAATACAAGTATGCTGTTACAGGCACATTTCTGGAGGTAGTCGAACAGTAAAACATGATGAAGACAGTAGCAGATCAGATGGAAACTTAAGAGAACCTGGAGCCACAAGAGGTGGAGAGATGGAAAGATCAGAAAACAGACTGGCCATCTAGGGATAGGGCTCTAAAAAGCAATCTCTCTCATCTCCTCTGCTTTGAAGACTGGAGGAATAAAGAGTTCCAGATTCCAAGATAACTCAGCAGTCAGGTAAGTAAGGAATATCATCTCTGCTCATTCCACGTCACTGCCTCTCCTATGTTCCTTTTTTTTTTTTTTTTTTCTTTTTGTAGAGACCAGGTTTCACCATGTTGCCCAGGTTGATCTTGAACTCCTGGGCTCAGGTGATCTACCTGCCTTGGCATTCCAAAGTGCTGGGATTACAGGAGTGAGCCACCGCACCTGGTCCCAAATATTTTCAAACCTTCAATCACCTTGACTAAGACTACCAGTTACCTAACAAAGTGAACGTGCATCTGTTCCTATGTGAAAGCTATTATTATACATCTAGTTACATGAATCTCAGCTGCAACAAAGCCAGCATCCCATGAAAAAAGTGAAACACACTTAGAAAAGATCAACAGCCACTTTCCTAAAGAAAACAGCTTCATTCTCAGAGGATCAAAAAGTGTGTTAGGAGGGTCTGGATGTTCTACTTACCTTGCTCTTCGTGATCTTTGAAGTGCCACCAATAACCTTTGGAAGGATGATATCGACAGTATGACATAGCTTCATCAAAAGCTGACTGAATACCATGCACTGCAGTAAGCTTGAAAAAGGAAAATAAATTCTAAATTTCTCATTAGGTCAACAAAAATTTCCAAAGTAAATACTCACAAAATATTACATATGCAAAGACAGAACCCATTTTTCAGAACCTAAATTACTATATAATTGAGACTATGAAATATACTTTGACCACTGACTTGGCTCATAGTAACCAAAGTTCAAGACATTCTAATAGTCAATACTTTATAGCAACTTACACAAGGCAGAGGAGCTCCAGTTGGATTACTGGAAGCAAGGTAGCTAATTAAAAGTTTTCTTTAGTGCTTAAAAGAATGTGAAGACACTTACCACTCTAGAGTTTATAACTGATCCCAAGTCTGGTGCCTGATAGATCACTCCAGCAATGATATAGTAATCAGCTAGTGGGATAACTAAAACAGTGGGAAAAAAGGTTTACAAATACAGCTATGGACACAAACTGCTAAACAGATTCTCATAAAAAGAACTAAAATCTGACATTTTCTCATAAGGCAGGGTTTAACAATTACTGTTTTGGTAAAGCTGTACCAGAAAACAGCCACATCCAATCATTTACATATTATCTATGGCTGCTATGGCAATAATTGAGCGCTGTCACAGAGACTAGGAGGCCCACAAACCCCAAGTATTTAGTCATTGGCCCTTTTCAGAAAAAGTATGCCCACTGTTGCCCTCCAGCAGTGCTTCTCAAACTTTAATGTGCATCTGAATTACCTGGGGACCTTGTTAAAATTAGATTCTTATTCAGTAGGGATAGTGCATTTCTAACAAGTTCCCAAAAGATGCCAAGACTGTTGTCAGTCAACCTTACTTAAGGTAGTAAGACCTTGAAGCAAGACAGACTGGGGGTCCAGTGTAAAGATATCAAATGCAATGAGCTTGCTTTTGTGCCCCAGTGCTGGGTCCTGAGGAATAAGATAACTGCCAGTGAGGATACTGCCGTCTTGTATAATTTCTATACCTTGAATCCTCTCACCATGGAAATCTTATCTTGTCGCTGGTCTGCCTTGATTCTAAGGTTCTCTTTTACTCTGGGCAGGGACTCTAGATCTTTGGTTTTGAAACTAAATTTGGATTCTAGAATCATAACTGCTTTATCAAGTCATTCTCTGAAAACAATGCCAAGTTAAAGGTTGTCCGTAAATGTCTTAATGAGGGTATCCAATTGAGAGATGTAGCTAGAGTAACACCCATCTGGCTCCCCTATCTTGAATCTTCTCTTCAGTATGACTTTATCCATGGTCTTGGCTTGATTCTAATGTCTTCAATTTCTGGTCATCACTGGAAAAGGTATCTAGCTCTTTGATTCAAAACCAAATCTGGACTCTACACTCTTCAGTGTTGTTTCTAAACCAAGTTTTCAGTAGGTAGTATAACCCAGGCAAGGCTTTTAGTTCAATGCATCACTGAGGATTTTCAATTGATCCTCTATTAGTTTGATACGACCGTATCTACCATGCATTTTGTAAAAGAATTAACTCAGTGGACTGAGATGAAAAGTTAATTGTGATCATCAGCAAAGCCTGAGTCCTGTCCTCTCGCTCTCCTCCCCAGAGAGCATGAGCTTCACCACTCACTCCACCTTCTCCACCAACTACTGGTCCCTGGGCTCCATCCAGGCGCCCAGCTAGGGCACCCGGCCAGTCAGCAGCGCAGCCAGCATCTATGCAGGCACCGGAGGCTCTGGTTCCCGGATCTCCGTGTCCCGCTCCATCAGCTTCCAGGGCAGCTTGGGGTACGGGGGCCTGGCCACGGGATGGCCAGGGTTCTGACAGGAATGGGAGGCATCCAGAACGAGGAGGAGACCATGCAAAGCCTGAACCTACCTGGTTCAAGGCCTGGCCTCCTACCTGGACAGAGTGAGGAGCCTGGAGACCGAGAACCAGAGGCTAGAGAGCAAAAAAAACAGGAGCGCCTGGAGAAAAAGGGACCCCAGGTCAGAGACTGGGTCCATTACTTCAAGACTATCAAGGACCTGAAGGCTCAGATCTTCTCAAATACCGTGGACAATGCCTGCATTGTTCTGCAGATCGACAATGCCCGTCTTGCTGCTGATAGAGTCAAGTATGAGACAGAGCTGGCCATGCCTCAGTCTGTGGAGAACAACATCCATGGGCTCTGGAAGGCCAATGATGACACCAATGTCACTCTGCTTCAGCTAGAGACAGAGATTGAGGCTCTCAAGGAGGAGCTACTCTTCATGAAGAACCATGAACAGGAAGTAAAAGGCCCACAAGCCCAGACTGCCAGCTCTGGGTTGACGATGAAGGTACATGCCCCCAAATCTCAGGACTTCGCCAAGATCATAGCAGACATCTGGGCCTAATATGAAGAGCTGGCTCAGAAGAACCGAGAGGAGTTAGAAAAGCACTGGTCTCAGCAGATTGAGGACAGCACCACAGTGGTCACTATGCAGTCTGCCAAGGTTGGAGCTGCTGAGGTAATGCTCACGAAGCTGAGAGGTACAGTCCAGTCCTTGGAGACTAAGGCCAGCTTGAAGAACAGCCTGAGGGAGGTGGAGGCCTGCTACGCCCTGCAGATGGAGCAGCTCAACAGGATCCTGCTATACCTGGAGTCGGAGCTGGCACAGGCTGGGGCAGAGAGGCAGCGCCAGGCCCAGGAGTATGAGGCCCTGTTGAACATCAAGGTCAAGCTGGAGGCTGAGATTGCCACCTACCGCCGCCTGCTGGAAGACAGCCAGGACTTCAATCTTAGTGATGCCCTGGACAGCAGCAACTCCATGCAAACCATCCAAAAGACCCCACCTGCCAGGTAGTGGATGGCAGAGTGGTGTGTGAGACCAACAACATCAAAGTTCTGAGACATTAAGCCAGCAGAAGCAGGGTACCCTTTGAGGAGCAGGAGGCCAATAAAAAGTTCAGAGGTCAAAAAACAAAAAAAAGTTACTTGGGATGCTTGACATTCAGTTGGTATACCAACTGTGATCACGGAAAGAGGGAGCTTTGATGCAGTGAGTTGCTCTGTTAGTGCTTGAAGAGTTGTCCTTGGGCATGCTGGAAGAGTCCTGGTATCCAAGTATACAACTAGTGGAACTTGGCTTTTGAAACTTTTCCTACATGAGAGTTATGCTGGTTGTACCAGCCTCTGCAGACAATTTGTACAAACAATGTGACTATAGTAGACACCAGATTTCTTTTGGAAAATCTAAAAATTTGGTGGGCAGAGGATGTCCAAACAACCAGCCCTCAATAAAAATCCCTGGCTCAGAACCTCAAATGGACTTCCTTGAGCAGACATATTGAATGCAGCTGCATTTCACTGCTGGATGGAGGGCACACTCTGTGGCCCTTCACAAGCAAGAGGGAAAGCATAGGAAACCTGCACATGGATTCCTACAGACCTCACCTGACATGTCTTTTTCCAGTACTAATCTGGCTGCGTACCCTTACTGTGTTGTCATAACAAATCTCAGCTGTAAGTACAACCATATGCTAAGTCTGGTGAGTCCTCCAGCATAGTACTGAACATGTATGTGGTCTTGGGGACCCCCCAAACAGAAACCAATCAAAAAAACCAAGTTAGGTCAGGAAGTAAATAAATCATGGTATTTTAAAAAGAAAACAATGCCTAAAGTTTACACATTTTACCTTGGGCAGGGGACTGCCGCTGTTGCTTCCGAATGATGAAAAGAATGGGCTCTTGAGCATGCAAAAGGATGTATTCGATTCCAACCATCTGACTGAAAACAGAACACAGACATCCAAATATCTATAAATGCCCTACAAATAATTTTATAAGACAAATTATATAAAAATGCGGCAACACTTTAATAGGATTAAAACTGCCTATGTTTGGTGTTATAATCTGACTGTCGAGTAAAACTAGTTTGTTTTTAAACAACAAAATTTCTCTACAAAAATGTATTATAAATTTAAATCTGAGTGTTTTCAGTTAGGAAAGGACACCGAAGAGTGTCTGCTTCAAAAAGGCAATCAAAATGTCATGATGCTTCCTGACCAAATCTACGAATACTTATAAAATATAAAAATAAACATGAAGACACAACTTCATATACTACCAAACTAGAAAACATCAAAAACTTTATCCTCACCCCAACAAATTTTTTTACCTGATAGATTATGTTTAAAAACAATAAGTTGTCTCAATAGCTGTATTTGCCCCATAACAAAAGCCATTTAAAATACGACAGATATTTAATTTTATATTCTCCTCCTCAATATTTAGCTGACAATAGGAAAATTATATCAACAGTTGTTTCAAATACTTTTGTAATATAAACTAGATATAAAAGGGACAATAATTATAGTTGCCTAGTTGAGAATAGCAGTAGCATTGCCAAAGTCACTCATCAGATCGAAATCTAAACCTGTTATATTTAATTAAACATTATGAAGTTATACAGAAAAGACCTCTGTTAAAAGTGAATACTAATAATTATCTTGCATGTCAAATTTGTATAAACCCAAACAAAACTCCAGTTTTTCCTCTAAAATTCTACTTTGCACTTCATGATCCACAGCTTTAAAGAACTGTTCATTGTAAAACCTGTATTTGGTAAAAATGCTACCTTCTTAAAATAACTTACTTCAAGTGTTCTAATGTTAGCCTCTGCATTTTGACCACTTCATTATTACATGTTCTGTCATAAAAAGGATTACTTCTTTCTGAAAAGTAATCCAGGACACTACCACTGTTCAAAATAGGGATCCAAGAGCTGTCAACCCAAGAAATTCCCAGCAGATTGTCTATGGGAAAGAAAACAAAATGATAAAGAATTAGAAAAAAAAGAAAGAATCCAATCCAACAAACATTTATTATACATCTAATGTAGTAGGCACTATGAATATAAGGATGACATAGATCCTAACCAACATACTTTCATGATGTAACAGAAGAGATTATGCAAGAAAGCAATAACATGATGTAAGTGTTATGATAAAGACATGGTGAAACTCTGTCTCTACTAAAAATACAAAAAATTCCGGCCGGGCGCGGTGGCTCACGCCTGTAACACTAGTACTTTAGGGATCTGAGGCAGGTGGACCACCTGAGGTTGGGAGTTTGAGACCAGCCTGACCAACATGCAGAAACCCCGCCTCTACTAAAAATACAAAAATTGCCTGGTGTGGTTGTGCATGCCCATAATCCCAGCTACTTGGGAGACTGAGGCAGGAGAATCGATGCACCCAGAAGGTGGAGGTTGCGGTGAGACGAGATTGTGCCACTGCACTCCAACCTGAGCAACAAGAGTGAAACTCCATCTCAAAAAAAGAAAAAAACAAACAAAAAATTAGCCAGGCGTGATGGTGAACACCTGTAATACCAGCTACTTGGGAGGCTGTGGCAGGACAATCGCTTGGACCCAGGAGGCGGAGGTTGCAGTGAGCTGAGATTGCGCCACTGCACTCCAGCCTGGGCAACAGAGCGAGACTCCATTTCAAAAATAAAGATATGAAGAAATGTGTTACAAGACTACAGAGGACCTGGGGGAACGAAAATCATTTTTCATGGGGTGAGAAGATGGGTTTTAGCATGATTTGTTAAAGAATAGATAGAAACTTACACAGAGAAAAGGGCAAAGTAACTCCAAGCAGAGAGAATGTATATAAAGAGGTATAAAAATACAAAGTATATTATATCTTCAGAGGATAATTTCATTAGGTGAAGAAGTGATATGATTTAAAATTTAGAAAGGACTTTTTTTTTTTTAATTGGAAATCCTTAATGCTGGCAAAGAATTCAAAATTTTCAAACAACATGTATGCCCAAGAGAACACATCCATAGCTACCAGTTTGCGATCTCTCAATTAGGGATAGAGAAGTTAGGAAGCTATTATTGTAGATGAGATGATAATGATGTAAAAGCTAAGGGATAAACAGGAAGTAGAATTACCTTAACTATAGCCACACAGTTTCATATTTAGAGTAGAATTAAATCATGGCTTTTAAAAAGACATGATAGAGCTAGATACTTTTAATAAATGAGCTTGTATTGGCCATTGGCTTTGATGATGCTTCATACCACTGACTGTACTGAACACCACTAGGTGTAAATCATGAACATCAAAATGCCTACACAATACTGGTTGAAAAACTTCAATCTCTCTTATACTGTCATTACCTCAGGCATCTTCAAAGAAGTCAGACCTAATTCAAGGTGACAGGCAGTTTTGAGCCAAGTGACTCAACTGAGAAAAATTATATAAAGGTAAAATGCACTTTGTGTGCTATAAAATAAAGGAGGAGACAAAGTATGTTAATAACCAAATAATTAGTACAGACCATTTAGATAGTTCATCATAACTGGATCATGCAATAACCAAATACACAATAGGCCAGGAAATAACATTTTCAGGCCTCCTAACTGGTTTTCCTAATTCTACCCTTGTCCTCCTACACTGTTCCCAGCAGCCAATGTAGTCCTTAAAAAAAAAAAATCAGATCACATCATTCCTATGATGGAAATCCCTCCAATGGCTCTCCGTTTTACTCAGAGGAAAAGCCAAAGACCTTATCATGGCTTTCAACACCTTTCTGACCTCATCTCCTTACCACATCCTCTCTCATTTCCCTCCAGCCACACTGGCCTCTTTGCTGTTCCTTTAACATACCAAACACACTCTTAGAGTCTTTGCCATGATCCTAACAAATCCGAATTATAAGTAAAACATTTTACAAACTAAATATTTGAAAACAGTCTGATAGACTAAATGTTTCTCTTTTTTATTCTGTAGCAAGGCAACATGTTGACATAGTCCAAGCATTCTAACAATCAGCAAGTGATGAAATTAGGCAGTTGAAACGCCCACTTATAATGAAAGACATGTATGTAAAATCATGATCCAGAAGTGCTGAAGATCACCGGATAACTACAAATGAAAATATTTGTAATAAATGTGTTAGACCCCAATCCAGTTAATATATAAAAAAAGGCATCTCAAACACTTCCCTTTAAAAATCAAGTACTGTATATACAAACAAAAACAACTCTACGTGCTCCCCAAGATCAAGCAGCAATTAAGCGGGGGCATCTCCATACATTTATTCACTGACTGATTCAGTATGTGAGTACCTCTACAGTTCAGCTGTGAAAAAAATACGACTCCTGGCCATAATAATTGCTGCATGTTCGATGTAAAGTATTATCGACTCAAAAAAAACAAAACAAAACAAAACAAAACCTTACAATAGAAAATATTTGGGATTCATGCTCAGGGACCCGCGGCGCGCGATCTAAAGAATCTGGCAGCCACCATGCCAAGTCCCAAGAGATGAATCAAATCAAGTTGGCTCATTACCCCACTCCCTCCTCTGCCTAAAGGCCATTCCTTCACTCCAATAGAATAGCCCTAATGTTGTCGCAGAGGTACGTGTGAAGAACAATACTCCAGCTCTGAAGGCTCAAGGCCCAGAGCTTCTTCCAACCCCTTCTCTCCGACGCTTCCAAGAGACGTTTCAAGAACTTAAAAAAAAACTCGTCAACGTTTTGCTAGATCACAGCCTTGCGTTGTCCACAAAAACCACTCAAAAAAGCTTGAGACCTCACACAAAGGAACCTAAACCTTGAAAGTGCGAGCTATAACATCCCAAACTAGTCCATAGACAATCAAGAGACAAAACATAGCAATAGACTATACCTCGGATATCCACCCCCGCCATAATTCAGAAAGCGTTCAGAGGTTCTCTTTCCGGCGCAAAGTAAACGTAAGCCTAGGCCGCCGGAAGCAGCGGGTTGAACAGAGTGCGCATGGGTGAGGAGGGACGTAGAGCGGAAGAAGGGGCGGGGCGGGCGGGAGAGAGGCAGGGCTGGGAGGTGCGAGTGGGAGGGGAGGGGGCAGAAAGCGGGAGGGGCGGGGGAGGCGGGAAACGCGAGGTGGGGTGGGGGGATGGGGGGACGGGACGCAGAAAGGTTGGTGCAGGGCAGCAGGGAAAGACTGGGAGGAGAGGGATGGGCCAAAAAAGGAGAATGGGAGGACGGATTACTGGGGAAAAAATTAGAAGACTTTAGAGGACAGGAAGGCCGAGTGGAGTCCCGCCCCACGCCCACCACTGATGGAATAATTCTGTCTTGATCGTCTGTGATCGTCAGGAAAACAAATTCTGATGCTGTACAGTTACGCTTGGGAGCGTCTCTTAATTTTAAAAGCTCCTCGGGTGTAGCCACTGAGCTATCAGATTTAGGAACGATGGTCATTTATGTTTTTCTCCCTGCCTCAGGTATTGGGATGGGACAGGACTTAAGAATTTGGGAGTCATTGGCTTTTCTGTGACCAAATCCATTAAAACTCTAAACCAATTAAGCCTCTGAGAAAAATTTCACAGCACAGGAAATGCTTCTGAAGTGAAATATTAATAAGATTAAGAGAAAGGGAATACCCCTGGGTCCCACAGTAATGAGCGAATGTCTGCATTCCAAGTAGTCTGGAGTAGGAAGCAGGACTCCAAAGAGGGAATGATTCTGTGTACGGGGAAGCCACAGAAAGCCTCAGATTCTCAAGCTTCAGTGTGGCTCTGTAAAAGCAAAATGATACAGAAATATGAAAACAACACGCAGATACTAGGAAGAGGATGCCAAAATCTGAAGGAGGGATGTGGGCGGGTGCCTACATCTTCTCCAAAACTTAGGCACTGTGAAGACTCCGCAAGAATTTAACCACAACCCAGGAGCAAGAGGGGAAGACCATAAATTTAATTGGGATTTTGAACCTCATAGACAGGGAATTCAAAATTTTTAAAACTCCGTAGAATAAAAGTACATTGCCTGTACATTTCAGTTTGGGAATTTTCTGCCTGAGATAGTATGTATAAAATAGGTGTCCCAACAGAAGTATGTGCATGCACAGAGTAGAGTTTTGAGAGAGAATTTTTCAGGAAGGAAATTTTCAGGAGGGCCTGTTTGGGAGCCTAGTGGGAGGACATTGCCAAAAGGAGGAGTATCGTGTCCAATAAAAAGTGTGATACATAAAGCTTTTTGTTTTTCTAGTTTTTTGTTTCCTTGTGTTTTGATTAGGCTAGAAGGAGATTAGGAAGAATCGTGACAGAATGCAGATCTGTAGACAATAAAACACATGGTATGTATGGTAAATGAGACCTGGAAGCTCAACCTTTTCTTGTAGGCAATGGGAGAAATGTTATCAAGCTTCCATTTTAGAAAGACTACTTGAGGAGGGCCGGGCACAGTGGCTCACGCCTGTAATCCCAGCACTTTGGGAGGCCGAGGCGGTCGGATCACGAGTCAGGAGATCGAGACCATCCGGGCTAACAAGGTGAAACCTCGTCAATACTAAAAATACAAATATTAGCCGGGCATGGTGACGGCGCCTGTAGTCCCAGCTACTCAGGAGGCTGAGACAGGAGAATGGTGTGAACCTGGGAGGCGGAGCTTGCAGTGAGCTGAGATTGGGCCACTGCACTCCAGCCTGGGTGACAGAGCGAGATTCCGTCAAAAAAAAAAAAGTGGAGGAAAAAAGATGTGGAGAAATAGGAACACTTTTACATTTTGCACTGTTGGTGGGACTGTAAACTAGTTCAACCATTGTGGGAAACAGTGTGGTGATTCCTCAAGCATCTAGAACTAGAAATACCATTTGACCTAGCCATCCCATTGCTGGGGATATACCCAAAGGATTATAAGTCATGCTGCTATAAAGACACATGCACATGTATGTTTATTGTGGCACTATTTACAATAGCAAAGACTTGGAATCAACCCAAATGTCCATCAGTGACAGACTGGATTAAGAAAATGTGGCACATATACACCATGGAATACTATGCAGTCATAAAAAAGGATGAGTTTGTGTCCTTTGTAGGGACATGGATACAGCTGGAAACCATCATTCTCAGCAAACTGTTGCAAGAACAGAAAACCAAATACAGCATGTTCTCACTCATAGGTGGGAATTGAACAATGAGATCACTTGGACACAGGAAGGGGAACATCACACACCGGGTCCTATTGTGGTGGTGGGGGGGGGGGCGGGAGGGACAGATTAGGAGATATACCTAATGTAAATGACGAGTTAATGGTTGCAGCACACCAACATGGCACATGTATACATATGTAACAAACCTGCACGTTGTGCACATGTACCCTAGAACTTAAAGTATAATAAAATAAAAAAAAGAAAATGCAAAAAAAAAAAAAAAGAAAGAAAGATTACTTGAGGAGAATGAGTTGGAGGTGTTTGTAAGACTCAAAGCAGGGAGTGCATTTAGGAGATTCTTGCAAGCTAAATAATATCTATACTAATACAAAGAGTGGTAGCTGAGGAGAAAGACAGGATTAAAGATATTTAGGTGACAGAATCAAAAGGGAATTAGTGACTAATAAATGGGCCTGATGAGGGAGAGGGAGGAATTGAAAATGATATTAGAGATACTAGTTTATAAGATAAATATCATTAATCAGATTAGGAATAACAAGTAACAAATTAGTAGGTGAGAAAAGAGGTAGTGATTTATTTCTGAACATGACCATGTTGTTCATTAAGTATCTATAGGACATCCTGTTAACCAGGTTTTCTTAGGCTTTGCGCTATGGATATTTTGGGCCAGATCATTCTTTGCTGAAGATGGATGGATGTTTAATAGCATTTCTGGCTTCTACAAACTAGATGCCAATAGCTCCCCCCACCTCTCCAGCAAAACTATCCCTGGTTGAAAACCACTGCTATACACTGGGATCTATGGGAATATGAAGTCAAAGCAGAAAAGTTTCAGGAAGAAGGTATACTCAACAGCATCAAGAAAACAAGCGAGGTAAGGTAATGGCCAAGAAGCAGGCCTTGGATTTGGTAAATTGGATGCCCATAACAAGAATAATTTTTGTGGAATGGTAGGAAGGGGAAGAAGCCAGAGGAAGATATGTTCAGCAGTAAAAGGAGGTGGCATGGTGTGTAAACTGTGCTTTCAAGAAGCTTGGCTGAGAAGGAAGGCTAGAGCTAGAACCCTACGTAGAAGGGGATATGGAAATAATCATAGGGAAATGTGAATATGTTGATAGGTAATGTGAAAGACTCAAAGAGAATACCTCCAGTTTATCTTAAAATTGTTCACCTATTCATCAGTCAATCATCAGGTATTTAACACCTCATTGCAGCTCTCATTGCAGAGGATAAAGCAGTAAACAGACAAAGCCCCTGGCTTCAAGGAGCCAACAGCTCTGGTGGAAAATAAAGACCATGAACAAGTAAACAAATAAAGAAGAGCATTACAGCCTCACCCCTGTAATCCTAGCACTTTGGGAGGCCAAGATGGGAGGATCGCTTGAGCCCAGGAGCTGGAGACCAGCCTGGTCAACATAGCGAGATCCCATCTCTATTTATTATATATTAATTGTTTCAATTAATAATGAAATATAAATTAAAAAGTGTTACAGATTGTGGTAACAAAAACAAGAGAAGACAAGATAGTGAGGAAGCCACTTTGGATAGGACAGACAGAACAGGACTCTCTGAGGAAGTGATACCTGAGATGAGACCTGGATGATGAAAGCAAATCACTCATGTGAAGAGCTGGGGCACACGCATTTCAGGCAGAGGGGACCATGGACCCTACAGTGGGAAAGGGGTTGGTCTGAGAACCATAGAAAGGCTGGTGTAAGCCAGGTTGTACGAGTGAAGGATGAATGGTGGGAAAAGAGACTGGGAATGAAGGCAGGGGCCAGATGATAGAGAGCCTGGTCAATAATTTATTTTTTATTCAAAGAACATAGGAAGCTATTAAAAGATTTGAAAGAGTAGAATGCCACGAAGGTATTAGTTCTGACTGGAAATTTGCTTATGGATGTCAAAAGTATTTGTTGTGCTTATTGAGCCACTTACTATGGATGAGGCACCGTGCTAAGCACTTTGATGAACTATCTAGTTGTTCCCTTGAAACAATTTTATGAGGCAGAAGCTATTACTCCCAATTTTTTTTTTTTTTTTTTTTGGTTCCCAAGTTTTATTCAAGAAATCATACAAAATATTCTGGATAAATGAAATTTAATCCTCATCTTCCTCCTCTTCTTCGTCCTGGTTAATCTGGAAGTAACGTAATTCATAACTCTCTTTGCTGTTAGCAACCACGCGCAACCAGTCATGTAGATTATTCTTCTTCAAATGTTTTTTGGTGAGATATTTCAAATGCCTTTTGGAGAAAGCACCTCAGATGTCACGGTGATCTTGTTCTTGCTCCTTTCGATGGTCACCACCCCTCCACCAAGGTTCCCAGCTTTTCCATTTACTTTGATCCTTTCTTGCAAAAACTGCTCAAAATTGGCAACATCCATGATTCCATCTTCTACAGGGTGGGTGCAATCAAGAGTGAACTTCAGAACCTGCTTCTTTTTTTTTGCCCCCTTCGCCACAAGCTTTTTCACAGGAGCCATGGCCGCAGCCGAGTTAGAAAGTATTACTCCCATTTTTAAATGAGGAGACTGACTGAAGCAGATGAGCTAGCTTCTCACCAAACTTATTAGCTACTTGGGTATACAGCTAAGCTATATTTTCCACCACTGTTGCACCTGGATGGAGCTACGTAGCCAGTTCTTATCAAGGGACTGTGAATGGAAGTGATAAGTGTTACCTCCAGACCAACATAGCGAAAAACACTGGTTCCATCTTCATCTTCTCTCTCTGTATTCACCAGCTAGATGCCAGAAAACCTAAGGTCATGGATTGAAAGTGGTGGTCATAGGGAGTTGCGGGGGTGGGGTCTCTGAATGACTGACCACAGGTGCTGAGCCACCTTGCTGACCTAAACTGGATTCAAAGCAAGAAATAAGATTTTATTGTGTTAAAACACATGCACGCACACAAAATTGCTATGTACTGTCTCCTCCATAAAATCAGTAATACTGGTGTAATCTCTTTTCTGTAGGATATATTAAAATGTGTACCTGCCTCCCCTATACACAGTATGACATTTTGAGGCTTTATGATTTGGAAACTTAAGTAATTTAATACATAAGTGTGAGAATGCAAGTAAAAGAGAAAAAACCAAGATCTTTAGTAAGGAAGTGGGAATGATTTCTGATTGGTTAAAGATGAAATGATGCCCATGGATAATTGATAATGTGTGGTACTCATCTTCCTCTATAAGATTACCATCTAAAAAAACAGCTTTTCTTCACACATGCTGTCTTTAAATACCTGACACCATGATCCTCATTACTACGTTTTTCTTTCTCTAACATTCTCTCCAATATTCTAAACTTACACATGTCATGTCATCCCATTCTGTACCTATAGAAATGTGTGTCCTATAGGAATACCTCTATAATTGCATGTCCTGAATTCAGAAACTTTTCTAAATAAAATTTCTAGACTGTAAACTCTGTGAGGACATGGTCGTGTCTCTGTTTGCCTGGTGTTACTTACTTAGTCTCTGGCAGGGTGTTTTTGATATAGTAGGTGTTCAACAAATATTTGTTGAATGAACAAATTCATGTATAAATGAATGGATGATATGATGGCCCTCAGATAAATAATAAACTTCATTAATTCAATAATAAATGAAATATGAAATTGCTAATAGAAATTTATTTATGGGAAGTTATAAGAAAATTCTTAAAATCTCCCCTGATGTTAGAATAATGCCAAGTGCACGACTTTATTTATACTAATATTCTAAATAAAAACAACATGGTTATATTTTGTTTGGTGTCCTATCAAGAAACTATTTTAGCAAATGACAAATGTGTGAGGTGTTTTTTCTACTTATTTAGTGAGGAAAAGTCCAGCTACTTCATTATACAAAGGACAGCAGAAAATTGCCTTAGAAATACTGAGGAATTATCTCTGAAAAGTTACCTTGGAAACTCTGAGATTGGCCCCAGTGGTCTAGGGAGAGGTATGGTACCAATTTTTTTGTGATTTAAGGGTTACAAGAAAAGCTACACAACCCCTTAAGGCAAATGCCAAAACCTGACCTATGGCAGTAATTCTGAAAGCAGCTGTTCACCTTAGGAAGTGGCTGTAATCATAAACCAAAAAAATCTAATCACAAAGCTTTAACTCTAGAATCCTAAACATAGAGTACAAATAAGCTTAGTCCAAACAGAATCATCTTCCCTCAAAGAACCTTTGTGGATTTTCCTCTCGTTGCAGGATAGTTGTCAAGGGCCCATGAGATTACACAGTGCTAACTTTAAGTAAGACTCCATCAAGGCATCAAAAAGCAATAACAAAGGCAAACTAGATCATCATACTCCAGTATGTCATTAGAAAATATTTAATAACCCCCGCACTCTTTGGGGTGTGTATGTCCCTGAGATGCTTGGTTAATTCTGGAGCAGAGCAAAGAGAAGCATCCCAAGGAAGATGCTTGACCGCCAACTCAATACAGCAGGTAGGGGCTCAAAGTCAAATTGCTGTATCTGAAGTAACAATCCCAGCAAACCCTGAAAAGGAGGTAGCTGTGGCAATATATTGGAAATCCGCTGGTAGTTCTTGCTTTACTGTTAAGGATCTGTGGGTAGAGGATTAGACAGTTTCCTGAAGAAAAATGCAGGGAAGAAAGTAGTAATTCTGGGACCTTATCAGTAATTAAAATAGCTCAGTGTATTCTCATATTCTCCTTTTAATCTGGGCTACATCTAAACCCATGTCTCCCTTTTTAATTATATTTCTTCTTTTTTTTTCATGATGAATGTCACCAAAGATTTATCCAATTTGATTGTATTTTTAAAGAATGAACTTTTATCTTGATTAATTCATTTTATTGTATTTTTTCTGTTTCACTTATTTCTGTTCATTTTTTGTTCATATTTTTATTCTATTTCCTTTGGCTTTATTCTGTTGTTCTTTTTCTAATTTATTGAGATGAACATTAATCAATTAATCTTCAGCTTCTATTCCTTTCTTTTCTTTTCTCTCTCTCTCTCTCTTTCTTTCTTTCTATGTTTTGACAGAGTCTCCCTCTGTTGTCCAGGCTGGAGTGCAGTGCAGTGGTGCGATCTCGGCTCACTGCAAGCTCCAGAATTCAAGCAATTCTCCTACCTCAGCCTCCCAAGTAGCTGGGTTACAGGTGCCCACCACCAAGCCTGGCCAATTTTTTTTGTATTTTTAGTAGAAACAGGGTTTCACCATGTTGGCCAGGCTGGTTTCGAACTCCTGACCTCAAGTGATCTGCCCCCACCCCTCCCTTTGGCCTTCCAAAGTGCTAGGATTACAGGTGTGAGCCACCATGCCCGGCCTTCTATTCATTTCTTAAGTAAGCATGTAAGGCTATAAATTTTCCCCCAAAGAAACACTTTCATTGTATACCTTAAGTACTGATGTATAGTATTTTCTTTATCATTTAGTTCTAAGTGTTTTTTTAAGTTTTGATTTTTTCTTTGATTTGTGAGTCATTTTTTAATTCCAAAGTATGTAAAATTTTAAAAATTATCTTTTTGTTATTAACTTTTTTTTTTTTTGAGACAGACTCTCACTCCATCACAATTCTCCTGCCTCAGCCTCCCCAGTAGCTGGGACTAAAGGTGTGCACCACCACACCCAGCTATTTTTTTGTATTTTTAGTAGAGACAGGGATTCACCATGTTGGTGAGGCTGGTCTGAAACTCCTGGCCTAAGATGATCCACCTGCCTCGGCCTCCCAAAGTGCTGGGATTACAGGCACAAGCCACCATGCCCAGCCTGTTATTAACTTCTAACTCAATTGCATTGTCCTCAAGGAACATGTTCTACATAATACCTATTCTTTAATTTTTGTTTAGATTTGCTTCATGCCTTATATGATCATGTGTGCTTAAGAAAGCAATGCATCCTCTAAATGCTGGATACAGAATCTGGAAGTGTTAGACACCCCAACTTCTCAATACTGTCTTTTTTCTTGGTCTCCATGGCACTACCCTCCACTAGTATTTCTGCCACCTCTCAGACTATTCCTTTTCTATTCCTTACACGGGCTTCTCTTCCTCTATTTTACCTGTAAGACCTCTAATCTTCAGACCTACCCTCATCTTTCCTATCTTCCTGCTTTTCACTCTCCTCTCTCGATTTCATTCACACTGTGGCTGCAGTTTTCATCTATGTTATCATGGCTCACAAAACAGCCTAATCTAGACCTCTCTCCTGAGCCCCAGGAACATATTTGTAACTGCATACTGGATAGCCCCAACTTGCTGTTCTGTTTCAAAGTACAAGAGATTCACTCTTACCTGTATTCTTGATCTTACTAAGAAACCTTGCCACTCCCTCTTCCTTACCTCCCTCACTAATCTAGTGCCAAGTCTTCTCAGGCTCCTGTCTCAAATCAGGCTTCTCCTCTGCATCTTCACTGCTATTCTTTCCATCCCAATGCCCATTCTGTCTTGCCTGAACATTGTTGCCAGGGTAATTTTTCTATAAATAGTGTTTTCTTGCTCTAAAAGCTTTACCAACTCTATTTTCAGCCCACAACATGAAATGTAAATGGGCCCCAACCTACTTTTCAGCATTATCTCTCAACCCCAAATCACCACTGCACACACTGAACCCCTGCAACACTGAGCTTCTCACAGATCCCCAAACTGCTTGAGATGTTTATGTCTCTGGGTCTTTGGACATCATTCTACCTGGAAACTTGGAATGTTATTGTGTCTCTATCCTCACTCACACCCTTAACCCACACACAGGACAGCAAATGTGTATGCACACATGCATACACACAAATATACATTTATCTGAAAAATTCTACTCATGTGCAAGCAAGATTAGAATATGTAAAAAAAAAAAACTAAACAAAAGTTTGTTATTCTGCAGATGCTGACAATTGGTGATTAATGAAATTTTAGTTGGAGACAAATAGGCGGGTAGGGGGAAGGCAGGAAACAGGAAATAACATGTCAGCAAATAGTCCCCTACTCTTCATCATTTCTCTGTTGACTTGTTAGGAAATTTTCTTAAGCCACCATAAAATATCATGTTCAATTCCACTACTTCTCAGACACCTAGCTGCCCAGGCATTTGGCTAATTGGATGAATCTATATAGCTGACTCTATATCCCAATTCACCTTCATGTTATTTTCCCCTGGGATTGGTCACCTGGTAATCCTGACCCCAGGCTTGTCTTCCTAGTAATTATGTTGTTTGTATTCTCTTATAATTATCTCCTGTTGAGTTTTCCTGAAGTTTATATTTATTTCTAAATCTATAATATGTGGACATAAAGAAATAGTTTATTTTCATAGGCTCATGTATGGTGTATATTTATATAAGAACATTTACAAGATATTTATTAATAGGAAAAAAATTTCTGGGTTTTTGTTCCATTTCCTGCCAGATGAAAATGACCCTTTCCCCCACCAGTGTCTGTCCATGTGAGTATGGCTTTATGTGATTTTCATACATAAAGTGAGCTAATTCTTTACATTTCTGTGGGTGGCCAAGAGTAAGATTCAATGTCATTTCACAGATCAGGATTAAAAGAAGATTTTAGGCTGGGACAGTGGCTCATGCCTATAATCCCAACACTTTGGGAAGCCGAGGCAGGCGGATCACCTGAGGTCAGGAGTTTGAGACCAGCCTGGCCAATATGGTAAAACCCTGTCTGTACTAAAAAATACAAAAACTAGCCTGGTGTGGTGGTGTGCGCCTGTAATCCCAGCTACTTAGGAGGCTGAGGCAGGAGAGCCGCTTGAATCCAGAAGGCAGGCGTTGCAGTGAGCTGAGATCATGCCACTGCACTCCAGCCTGGGTGACAGAGGAAGACTCTGTCTCAAAAACCAAAAAATAAAAATAAAAATAAAAAATATAGGAAGATTTTAAAACTTCACTATCAGCCAAATAAACCTTAACAGCAGGGGAAAAAAAAGGTTGAAAATAATATACTTTATAATACAGTGTCTTTTCTTGTCTCCAGTTTGTGCTATACGTTATCTTCAAGGTATAAGCAAATGAAGAGTATCAATGTATATAATTTTTGGATATATAGTAAACCCATGTAAACAACGTAAAACCATATTGTATATGTGTTAACATTCAGGGCTTTAAAAAATATATGCTATGTACAAACCTGAAAATATTTGTCTGATTCATGGACAAATCACTCAAACAAACCATTTCAGTCTTCATTTATTTATGCATTCAGCTCTCAGTTGTGGGCAGGTACAGAATGGCCATATAATCCAATACTGTAATACAAAGTGAAAAGTGATGTAATAGATGTTGTAATTTTATAGAATATCAGTCAACTCTAAAGCCCCCATTGGAGGTGTGGAATAATGGGGAAAGGCTTCTATTCTTAACATGCTTAAGGTTGTGTTTTAGATGAATAAGACATACACATACACATATATACATCAAAACAAGTAATTCATAATTTTTGTTGCAAATCTATTACTCCTCTTACCAGAAAACTATATTTTCACATAAGAATTTGTCAGATCTCAAAAGCAAGATTGGGAATCATAGTGATCATTGTATATTTTAATATAGAATGAAAATAAATTTGACTTTGAGGTATAGTTGAAATGGAAATAAATCAGATATGAAATTAGATTGAATAAGTTCGAAGTGGTAATGAAAATAAGCCTTGTATGTATAAATTCAATAAAAGTATTTGTCTCCATACAGGCATAGCCAACATAGGTAGGAAGATTTTACAAAGGTATTATGGGGACAAGAGTTACTTTATTTTAAAGGCGAATCTGCCATGTAACTTCTAATTAACCCTGAGTTTGGGAATCCTTCCAAAATGGCTAGCTGATGTATTACTCTTTATGTAGAAACATCTACTTATTGTAGGTTTCCTCCAAAACAACGCTTGTTGTCACAGAAATCACAGGCTGTGATGCCCAAAACTGGCTTCCAGAGCATATATGCTTTCTTCTCAAAATATAAGCCCTGGGTCTGGGGCTTAAAGTACAGAGATCTACCTATCTTGCATATGCCCAAAACCACACTTCTGTCCGTAAGTTCCCCATAATAAATTACCCAAAACCAACCAAGTGGATTTGTCCACCTCCTTCTTTAGTTTTTCATCTTCTTCGGCATTTAGGAGTTGCTTTGCCCTCTCAAGGAACAAGTAGAATCTTTAAATTATTTGGTGATGTTCATATTTCTTATTATTAAAGCAAAGCACTAGAAATACCTGGCCAGACTCTCAGAATTCCCAAAATACAAAAGCTTGAGCCCAGATTAATAGTTCTTGACAGAGTTATACTTACAAGGGTCACTGCCACACGGCAGTTCAATACAACTTGTTCAAACCACACTCCATGAGATACAGCTGTGGTAAATATTAAGGAATAAATGAACTAGAGTTGGTAATGCTGTTACTTTGGTTATTCGATTCACCCAAGCTAATACAATTCTAGGTATAAAAGCCATTTTAATTGGGTGTGGTGGTGCATGCTAGTAGTCCCAGTTACTTGGGAGACTGAGGGGAGTATTGCTTGAGTCCAGGAGTTCTAGTCTGTAGTGCCTGAAGCCCACTGGATGTCTGCACTAAGTCTGGCATCAATATGATGACCCTTGTGAGCAGGGAACAATGAGGTTGCCTGAGGAGGAGTGAACTGGCCCAGGTTGGAAACCTCTGTCAAAACTCGCCTGCTGATCAGTAGTGGGATGGCGCCTGTGAACAGTTCCTGCACCCCAGCCTGGGCAACATAATGAGACCCTGTCTCAAAAATAAATTAATTAATTAAATTAAGTTTCTTAAAGTCAGCTAAGCCAAAATATAACTGGGTTGAGAAAATGGCAGCAAAACTAGAATAATAGTTAATGTTTACATGTTAAGTACCTATGATATGCCAGGCACAGTCCTAAGTACTTTAGAAATATTGTCACATTTAATCCTCCCAATAACCTGATGTGGTAGTTACTGTTAAGTCTCCAACTTACATGTAAGAAAACAGAAACTTAGGAAAGTTAAACAAGTCACTCAATCTTACAAATGTGATCAATGGAGGAGCACAAGTGTCCAGAATCCTTACTCTTTCCCATTTTGCTGTTCTGCCTCTAACATATTGAACACAGCAACTGAAATTTGAACTAGGTATTGAAAGTTGAGTACGATTTTTCTGGTAGAGGAAAGGGAAAGGATGCTTTTCTCTGGCTGGAGGAGAGTGAGGAGCTGGTAAAGAGTCACAGAAGTGGGAGGGATTTTCTTCCAAGAGGAGCAAATACATGGTGCCTTGTGCATACAATGTGACAGTGCTGGAAGACGAGACTGGAAGGGACATTTGGGTCTAGTTTGCTAGGGCTCTTCTGCACTTAGGAATTTTGACTTGATCCTGAAGGCACTGGCTAATCAATGAAGGCTTGCATTTGGAGAATGAGAACTCAGATGTCAGGGTGGAGGGTGGATTGGATGCATATTAAGGAATAGTTCCTAATAATCCAGACGAGAGGTGATGGTGAACTAAACTAAGGCAGGAACTATCAAAGTAATAAAGATACAGACCTTGGAGGGGTAAAAGAAGATATATTCTCCCCAGCTTCCCCAGGCACACAGGTGCAAGCGCTTCAATGGGCTGCTGGGCAAATGCAAAAGTGGTAAGTGGTCACCAAGGAATGCTGTCCTGAGTTTTTCCACATCAATAATTTTTCTTGCTGTGAGTTCTTTACCAATCCAGATGGGGCATCATCACTTGTGACTTCAGAGGAAAGAGTAATTGTAAAATTCATTAAGCTTCTGAATGAAGATGTGTAATGTCTTCCAAGAAAATAATTAAACCACCATGGGGCAAAGACTCTCATCTGTATAATTTAAAGTTATGAAGTGGGTCATTGCTTAGTGTCTCAAATCTCATTTACATGTAGCTAATTCATAATCATACTCCATCTGGCTAAAATTAGTCACATTATTCTGTGAGCCAAGAAAAATATTTGTCTCATTTTAGAGGTTTTATTATACAATCAAATGTAGTCTAATGTACATCTGAATTCTTTGTTCTTTTCTTCTAATATTTGCATCTCACTAAAATGAAAAGAAAATGTAGAATATATGGTATATTCAATAAAAGTTCTCAGCTGGGTATGGTGACTCATGCCTGTAATCCCAGCACTCTGGGAAACCGTGGGCAGATAGCTTGAGCCCAGGAGTTGGAGACTAGCCTAGGCAACATGACGAAACCCCGTCTCCACAAATATATATATATATATATAATATATATATAATATATAATATATATTATATAAGTAATATATAATATATTACACATGTCTATGTGTTATTCTATATATTATATAATGACCCCTTGTGAGCAGGGGACAATCAGGTTGCCTGAGGAGGAGTGAACCGGCCCAGGTTGGAAACCTCTGTCAAAACTCCCATGCTGATCAGTAGTGGGATGGTTTATATTTATATTTTATATTATATAATGTAATATATATAATATATAATATATAAATACATAAATAATATATAATATAGTTATATATAAAATATATGTATTTTATATAGTTTTTCATATTTTCATATATATGAAAATTAGTCTGGTGGGAGGATCACCTGAGCCTGGGGAGGTCAAGGCTGCAGTGAGCTGTGATTGCGCCACTGCACTCCAGCTTGTATGACAAAGCAAGACCCTGTCTCAAAGTAATAATAATAATAAAAATAATTAAATTTCTCATTTCAAAGAGCACAGAGCCCATAATAAAAGAGGGTTAAAATGGAATATTCCTACTTAAAAGACAGGGAAACCAAACAGACGTGTGCCAGGCTACCATGTGTTGAGGTGACCAATTAAGACAACAAGCCAAACTGAAAATAACTATCAATTCATTGGTTGTGACAGTGCAGGCAAGAGTCAAAAGAGAAAGGCACTGGTTCCCTACTGTTTTTTCCCAATAGAACAGTGCCAGGCAATAGTCAAATGGAAGCACAGGTAAGGGAAATCATTTCATTTCCGAGGAGCCCCAAACAAAAGATTCCTGCTTTTTATGGACTTATAGGGCCATGGAAAGAAAGGGGGAGAAGAGCTAGGAGTGAAAAGGTCTGGAGTCAAAATGGATAAAACTGTCTCAGCCAAGGCCCACAATAACAAGGTCTCAGCAGAGGTGCCTGGGAAGTATCTCAAGAGAGGCCCCAGTCAAGAGGCTTCTGAATGGAGGTGCCTGAGCTGAAAATGCAGTTATGCATACTTAGCACTGCAGCTCAAAGGAGCCTAAGTCCTCAACTGCAACTCCTTCCAGAAAACTACAATGCACTGGTGGTACAATAAGTTAGATGTGGGGAGAGCAGCTCCTCTTATGAGGCCTGCCATGCAACACCTTGTAATTGCCTATGGGAGGGCCTGAAATATCACACATGGGACTGAGTCCTGGACCCACGCTCCAAGAGTATCCATATCTGGTAATAAATAGAGGTGAATTCAGGTCCAGTATGCCAATCTGCCAAAAGCCATACGTTGTGAATAAACAGCGTAAGGGGATGTTTTGGTTTAATGTCAGGCAATTTCTAGGGGCACTGGCTATTTTGATTTTATATATCTGGGAAGCAAAGACCAAACATCAGACCCAGGGCTTGGGTACAGAAAAGAGAAATTGAAATTTTCTTTTTCATTTCCTAACTCTGCTGATTCCCTACCCATCAGACTTTGAAAAGAAAAATAAAGGAAAAAAGAATGGGGCTCTGAAAATATTTGACCTTCCTCAGTCCTGTCAGCATTCACTGTGTCAGTCTTCGCCACAGGAAAAGTAGGCAGTAGCACATGCTGTGTAATTTCAGAGCACTGGCAAGAGTCTCCCCCATCTGCCTTGGAGGCAACTCATAGCTCAGATATCTCTTAAACGTGTCCCCAATTTTCATTCTTATCACCTCTCACTTAGATTATTGTAATAGACTTCTGATTACTATCCCTGCCTCTGGTTTATTTCTCCCATCAGAATATCTGGGAAGCAATAAGAGATACAGAACTGGAACTTTTGGAAGTTAGTTATGTAGAGGGGGTAATTGAAACCCATTAGGAAGGAACAAGCTCTCCTAGACAGGGGTGTAGCCTTAAAAACATATTTGACCTTTTTTTTTTTTTTTTTTTTTTCTGAGATAGTGTCTTGCTTTGTCACCTAGGTTATAGTACAGTGGCGCAATCACGGCTCACAGCAGCCACAACCTCCCAGGCTCAAGCAATCCTCCCACTTCAGCCTCCTGAGTAACTGGGACTACAGGCATGCACCACCCTGCCAAGCTAACTTTAAAAAAAAAATTGTAGAGATGGATTCTCACTATGTTGCCCAGGCTGGTCTCAAACTCCTGGACTCAAGGAATTCTCCTACCTTGGCCTTCCAAAGTGCTAGGATTACAGGCTTGAGCCACCACTCCTGCCAAAAAACATTTCCCTACTAGTGAATGAGGGGCAATATTACAGGTTCATATGTGAAATCTAAAAAAAAAAAAAAAATTGGTATAATAGAAACAGCAGAACAGTGGTTACCACATACTGGGGAGAGAAATGAGGAAGGGAGGATAAGAGAGGTTGGCCAATGGATATAAAGTTATAATTAGATAGGAGGAACAAATTCTGATCATCTATTGCACAATAGGGTGAATACAATTAATAGTAAAATATCACATATTATAAAATAGCTAGAAGAGGGGCTTTTGAATGATCTCACCACAAAGAAATGATAAATACAAAAGGTGATACATTAACTACTCTAATTGGATCATTCTACAACATAAATAGGTATTGAAACATCAAAATAAACCTCATAAATATGTACAATAACAATATGTCAATTAAAACAATAAATTTAAATTTTTTAATAAAATAAAGAGGGGTGTGTGTGTGTGTGTGAACAAAAGCTCAAAGGCCAGGATTTTTGTCTGATATTCGGAATATGGTGCAACACATACTGTGACATATTCAGTAAATATTTATTGGTGATTCAATGCAAAATAGTGGGTCAAATGTCATTTCTAAGTTTTCTCATGAGAATCTCAGTGACTTTGTAGGTTCTTGAATCTGTATAAAATGAAAACTTTTGACACCTCAAGCTGTTGTTATAACCCAAGACTCATGCATCATGCACTTGACTCACTCCCTCTTGTCTGTAGGTTACATGCACCGGGATGATAATTCCCAATGATGAACTTGCAGGGAATGCAGGTCAAGAGAGAACTTCAGGATCTTTCCATTTCTGATTGCATGTTAACATTACTAAGTGTGGCTTATTTAACCTCAAAAGCCCTAAACTATAAAAGGATATTTTTGTTATTATTTTTTAATTCAATCAAAAAATATTACAATGTAACCTCAAAAAATATTTATAATGTGCCAATCACTGTGCTGGGTGATGGAGAAATAGCAGTGAATAAGATAGACATAGTCTCAACATTTCAGTCTAGTGAGGGATACAGACAAAAACACTCATAAACCGTATTGTAATCAGAGCTATGAGGGAGGAAGCAGAGTAGTCTGAGAGCATGAGGAGAGGGTACTAAACACATATGGGAGAAAGGGGAAGTCTTCCTAGAGGAAGGGATGTTTAAGCAGAAACAATGAAAGACTAGTAGGAGCTAGCCAAGTGAAAAGGAGAGGTAAGAAAATGCAAGCAGAAGGAAGAGCATGAACCAAAGCCAAGAGGCAAGAGAGAAAAAGAAAATGGAAAATGTTCAGAATAGCTGGAACATAGAATATATGAGAAGACTGGAGAAGAGAAGATTGTAGCAGAAATCAGAAATAAGATCATTGTAAACTATGCCAAGGAATTGAGAGCAGTGGGACACTAAAGAAAGATTTTAAAGAGGCAAGTGACAAGGAGGCAAGATTTCAATTTAGAAATGTGTTATCATAATCTAAGCCTGAAAAGACAATGACCTATGCTAAGTAAGTAACAGTAACAGTAAAAAGAAATGAACTAATAAATTAACTAAATAAAATGATATTTAGGAGGTAGAATGAAAAGGAATTGGTGAAAAACATGGGGTGAGGAGAAAAAGAATTCAAATTATCTAGCTTGGCAATTGGGTGATTTACTGAGATACAAAACAGTTGAAAGAGCAATTTGGAAAAGAGGGTAGAATAGTTGGGTTTAGTTTTAGGTGTGTTGTGTTTGAAGTGCCAGTGGATCCTCCAAGTGAAGATGTCAACAGGACAAATATAACTAAGAAAAATCCATGAATCCCATATATAAACTTGGGAGTCCTAGCAGCCACTGAGGATATAGCAGAACACAGTGGTGGTTGAATCAATAATATGAAAGGAAATCAGTTGTATAGATATTTTTTATTGTCCTGCTGTGGGCTTGAGTTAAAATACTTTTCTGATATCCTAGCCTTACTTGCTAAATGAGGACCTCCCAAAACCTGGTGTTTATTACGAAGCAAGTCCTATCTGCCAAGCTCTTCTAGACACTTTTCATTCCAGGCAGTTCATTATATCACTGAGTCCTCGCTGTAATCGCCAAACTGGGCTACATTTGAAAAAAGTGACTTAGAGTGATAATGAAGGTTACCTTGTTTTTCAGAAACAATAGCACCTAGCTTTTTAAGTGTTTAAAATAGGGTAATGTCCGAACCTCTCCTTTCTTTGCAGCTGCCACAGACACATAAATAGTCCCATGAACTCCCTTCTCTAATGCTAATTCATCACTGCAAAAAAATTAGGCATTCTTCCAGTAAAGAAGAGCCCAGCCCAGACTAGCATGGTGG